CTAGCGCTCTACCACTTGAGCCACAGCGCCACTTCCGGCTTTTTTCTTTTTGCTTATGTGGTGCTGAGGAATCGAACCCAGGGCCTCAGGCATGTAAGGCAAGCGCTCTACCACTGAGCCACCTTCCCAGCCCCAGTGCACACTCTTTTGCCTTTCTAAAATCCTGTTCACTACACTCAAAATCTAAACTCTAGGGGCTGGGAAGGTGGCTCAGTGGTACAGCGCTTGCCTTACATGCCTGAAACCCTGGGTTCGATTCCTCAGCACCACATAAGGAAAAAGCCGGAAGTGGTGCTGTGGCTCAAGTGGTAGAGCGCCAGCCTTGAGCTGAAGAGCTGAGGGACAGCACCCCGGCCCAGAGTTCAGGCCCATGACTGGACCCAAAAAAAAAAAAATCTAACTCTATCCAAGCTAAACTGCTTTTACTAAAATCACCAGAAACCTCAGTTAATTTAAGGCCTGTTTTCACTTAATGTACTTGATTTAGTCTACATCATTAGCAATGTGTGTGTGTGTGTGTGTGTTTGTATCTCACACTTTCCAGGCACACAGTTCACCATTCTGGCCACACCCCCAGCCTACATTTGATGCTTTTAGGTCATGTGCTCTTCAGCTCAAGGTGAACTAGCACTCTTATCACTTGAGCCAAAGTGCCACTTCCGGTTTTCTGGTGGTTTTTTGAAGAGTCTCACGGACTTTCCTGGCTGGGCTGGCTTTGAACCGCGATCCTCAGATCTCAGCCTCCTGAGTTGCTAGGCTTGTAGGCGTGAGCCACCGGCGCCCGGCTTTTTTGTCTTTGTTTTTGCCAGTCAGGGAGCTTGAACTCAGAGCCTGGACACTGTCCCTGGCTTCTGTTGCTCAAGGCTAGCACTCTACCCCTTGAGCCACAGCACCACTTCTGGCTTTTTCTGTGTATGTGGTACCGAGGAATCGAACCCAGGGCCTCGCGCATTCAAGGCAAGCGCTCTACCACTGAGCCACAGTCCCACCGTCTTTTGCATTTCTCCAGTTGTCTTTTTCAATTACTCCCAACTTTTTTTTTTTTTGCCAGTTTATCTGATAATCCACCCCACAGACCGGGTAAACCGGATGTAAAGAAGAAAACTTCTTTCTAGCTAACTGTCCCACAGCGCTGTTTCTTTTTACATTCTAGAGACAAATTTTGGCGCTTGGGCTGAGGTATCGCGAGAGTTCTATTCTTAGGGAGGCGTGGCACTCAGCCGTGACTCCCAGCAACCTTAGCGAATCGCCGCTCCCGCGGAGCGTCTCTGGACCGCGCAAGCGCAGTAGCCAATACTTGGCTTCCTTCCGGTCTTGTACTTAAGGTATAAATACGGATGCTTTGCGCCGCCTCAGTCTCTTGGAGAACCGCTTCTGCTGTGGCCGCTTTCCCTCTGGTAAGTGCCCCGGCGCCCTCGGCTCGCCAGCCGCCCTTCTCTGGGAAGCATCGCGAGGACCTCGCGCCCGGGCTGGCGCGCTGAGGCCCGCCATTGCTGCCGGGTCTCGCCGCCTCGAGCCCCCGCCGATCGAGTGGGTCTTAGCGAGTTCCGAGCCCGCCCTACGCACAGCCTCTGCGCTGGTGAAGGCTGAGACAGTCTCCATAGTCCAGGCTCTTCTCCAGCTCTGGATCTTCCCGCCACCCAAGTCCCGGGGGTTCAGCCTTTGTAGGCACCCCGGTGCCAGGGGATGGAAAAGGAAAGACGGATGCCCAGTGGCTGAGCGGGTATCAGTCAGCACTGAGCCGCCTGCGCTCAGCACGGACGAGTGGCTTTTTGTTTTTGAAGTCTGCCCATGTCAGCAGGTAATCTTGGCGGGGTTATCACTGTCAAGTAAACTAACAGGGTTCTGTGGATGTGGTTGATTCCTGACCCCAGCCTAGCCACTGAGGACCCAAAAGGATAAGCGTAGCGTCTGGGCCCTGAGTTAGTGTAAGATTGTACCAACATGGACACCCCGGGAGGTCACTCTCCCCGGGCTCTGTCCTCGTGGCCTAGGGGAGCATAGGGCTCTGCCCAACGATGTATAGTCCCTTTCCACAATGTTGGATATGAAGCCGGGCTTTGTGTCTGCGCCTGCATATTCCTACAGCTTCCCAGAGTCCTGTGGACAATGACTGGGGAGATAAACCATGCAGGAAACAGTCATACACTTTGGTGTAGGTGTGAGCTAATATTTTGCCACTGTAGTTTGAGTCTTAGTAAGATTGACTTTTAGTCTTGCTGTATTCACTTATGAATGCCTTCTTTTGCAGAACTCTGGATTTCACATGACTGCTTCAGGGTGAGTGAACTTCTTGGGATTTTTTTTTCTGCTTAATGCTATGTGCCTTTAGAAAGCACTAAAACTAAGAATCTTTTGAGAGAAAAATTAGATGCAGTCACTAGTATAGGTGGAATGTAAAAATGCTAATACATTCTACATGAGTGACTATTCTGTTCAGTACTATACATTCCAACATGGACACCCCGGGAGGTCACTCTCCCCGGGCTCTGTCCTCGTGGCCTAGGGGAGCATAGGGCTCTGCCCAATGATGTATAGTCCCTTTCCACAATGTTGGATATGAAGCCGGGCTTTGTGTCTGCGCCTGCATATTCCTACAGCTTCCCAGAGTCCTGTGGACAATGACTGGGGAGATAAACCATGCAGGAAACAGTGTATATATAGTGCATGTGCACTGAAATTAATGCTTGATAAGTTTCTAGTCTGATTGTATGCCTATTTTCATGCAGGAAAGAAGAGGAACCATGTACTAATTTCATCCATTGACCTGATTACGGTTTGGAGTTCACTAATGCTGAATTGTGATTTTTTGGTTTTTTTTGTCAGTAGTGTCTAAGTCGGCCTGGGCGCTGTCCCTGAGCTCTTAAGCTCAAGACTAGCGTTCTACCACTTGAGCCATCTTCCCAGCCCTTTACCAGCATTCTTTTCCAGGCATAATTGGGTGGGTGGATTGTCTCCTGTAAACTTCTTAATAAATTTGAAGTGGTTGAAATGTCTTGTGGGTTTTTCCTTTAATCCAGAGTGTATCAAAGATGTGCCTAAATGTTGCTGTTTGTGCCTTTAATGTAGTAGTATAAAGTCTGCTTTTTGAAATGGCACTAACGTGCTGTGACTTAAGAGCCTACCTCATGTGGTGTCATAATAGAAAAACTTTCCAAGCCCCCTGCACTGCCTGCCAGCAGTTTGAAGGTTAAGGCCCAAGGCTCTGAAGGATGGGGACCAAAGGGGAGCCACCAACTAGTTACAGTGGAGCAGGTTCGTGGCAAGTGTGGGCCTCTGGGTGTTCAGGATTTAGCATTGAGATACTATTGGCTTTTTGTGTCAAGGACTGGTCCTCTTTTTGCCATAACGTTCTATGAACCTTGCTAGTGAGGAAGTCAGGTTGTATAGCCAGACTGTTTCAACTGAACTGTTATTTTGGGCTGTACACTGGTAGAAAACAGCAATACTTTTTCCAAGTAGCAAAGGCCCTGGGTTAAAGCCTCAATCAGTGCATGTACATATATACAAGGTGTGCCAACAGCCCTGCAGAGGTTTTTTAATTGTAAAGAACTAGACAGTTGCAGTTACATGAATAGGGTGATGAGTACTTTCCTGTCAAGTGTTGTTACCCCTCCAGTCATGAGGCTTTGAAAAATGCAATGTAATGTCTGCCTTGGGTTAGGTAGAAATTTTTTCCTGGACCTGGGCACCGTCCGTCAGCCCAAGGTGAGCACACTGCCATTTAAGCCATTCCACTAACAACTTTATCTGTTTCTGTGGTGCTGAGGATTCAATCCCAGGACCTCATGCATGCACTCTACACTGAGCCACCTTCCCAGCCCCAGAATTTATTCCTGAACTCGGCCTGGGCGCGATCCCTCCGCTCTTCAGCTCCAGGCTAGCTCTACCACTTGAGCTACAGGGCCACTTCCCGCTTTTTCTGTTTTTGTGGTGCTGGAGCAATTGAAGCCTAGGGCCTCATTCATGGGAGGCAAGCACTACCTCCCGCTGAGCCTGCTTCCCAGCCCTGGAATAAAATGGAAGAAATGAGAGGTAGTAGCTGGTAATGGTAGTGCATGAAGCCCTGGGTCCTTTCCTCAATACCAATATGTAAAAAGCACAGGACAGGCTGAAGAGGTCAGAAGTTCTTTTTTTTTTCTTTTTGTCTGTCGTGGGGCTTGAACTCTGGGCCTGGGCGTTGTCCCTCAGCTCTTCACCTCAAGGCAAGCGCTGTACCACTTGAGCTACAGCGCCACTTCCGGTTTTCTAGTGGTTTATTGGAGATAGGAGTCTCGCAGTCTTTCCTGCCCGGGCTGGCTTTGAACTGCCATCCTCAGATCTCAGCCTCCTGAGTAGCTAGGATTACAGGCGTGAGCCACCAGCGCCCAGCTAGGTCAGAAGTTCTTTAGCCTAGAAGAGCAGAAATAGTAACATGACAGGAAGTCAAGGGCAGAGAATTTAAGAGGGGCTGGGAAGGTGACTCAGTGGTCCTGGGTTGGATTCCTCAGACCCACCTAAGTAGAAAAAGCTGGAAGTGATGCTGTGGCTCAAGTGGTAGAGCTCTAGCCTTGAGCTGAAGAGCTGAGGGACAGCACCTAGGGCCAGAGTTCAGGCCCCATGACTGCCAAAAAACTTCAGAGATCCCTAGTAAGCAGTGCTTAGAAGGGGAGGTCCAGATCCCTAGATTCATTGGGAAGCTGTTTTTTTGTTGTTGGTTGTGCTGCTTGAACTTGACCTGGGCGCTGTCCCTCAGCTCTTCAACTCTACTGCTTCAGCCACACCCTTAAGGCTTTTTGGTGATTGATTGGGAGATAAGAGCCTTAGGGATTTTCTTGGCTTGAGCTGGTTTTGAACCATAATCCTCAGAGTTTAGCCTTCTGAGTAGTTTGGATTACAGGCATGAGTCACCAGTGCCTGGCTGGAAAGTGGTTTTATTTTAGACTCCTGGTTTAAAATGTTGAGTCTTTTGAGTAGAAATGTAGGGATGTAACTTAAAGTAGAGATCAGGGAATCAGCCCAGTCAGGCTGAAAAATAGTGGGCTTCACTGGGCGCAGGTGGCTCACGCCTGTAATCCTAGCTACTTAGGAGGCTGAGATCTGAGGATCGAGGTTCAAAGCCAGGCTGGGCAAGAAAGTCCCTGAAACTCTATCTCCAATAAACCACCAGAAAACCGGAAGTGGTGCTGTGGCTCAAGTGGTAGAGCGCTAGCCTTGAGCTGAAGAGCTGAGGGACAGCGCTCAGGCCCAGAGTTCAAGCCCCATGACTGACAAAAAAAAGGAATGGGCTTGGAGCCTGAGGATCTGAGCTGTAACATGCTCTCCTGTCCTAACCTGCAGGATGTCTGCCTTCATCCACACAGCCCAGCTTCCCTTCCACTATGTATGTGCTTATTCTACGCAACTTAGTTGACTTCTCTCAATCTCACGAAGTTTCTATAAAAACAACATCTAATGCATGTGGGGTGAGGGGTTTCTGATAGAATAGGTAATCATAATCATTTATTTTATAATTAAGCCAAGTGAATGAATACAATCTGGAAGGAAGACAGCAGAGAGATCAGAGATCCCAGGGTCAAAGCTTGGGGAAGCTTCACAGAATATCATCCAAAAAAGGAATCCATGATGGAGGCAGAGGTAAACTTAAACAGGTAAGAAACTAAAGACAGGCACTGATGGGAATGCTTTGGGGTGGACACATAAACCAAGAAGAAATTCACTGGAGAAACATCAAAAATGTAAATTTAAGGCTGGGACGTTGGCTCAGTGGTAGAGTGCTTGCCTCGCATGCATGAAGCCCTGGATTCAATTCCTTAGCACAACATAAGCAGAAAAAAGCCAGAAGTGGCACTGTGGCTCAAGTGGTAGGGCACTAGCCTTGAGCTGAAGAGCTTGGGAACAGTGCCCAGGCCCAGAATTCAAGCCCTATAACTGACAAAAAAAAAAAAATGTAAATCTGGGGGCTGGGAACGTGGTTTAGTGGTAGAGTGCTTGCCTAGCATGCATGAAGCCCTGGGTTCGATTCCTCAGCACCACATAAGGAAAAAGCCGGAAGTGGTGCTGTGGCTCAAGTGGTAGAGCGCCAGCCTTGAGCTGAAGAGCTGA